GGCAATCTAGTGTCATCAATTAAAAAACTTCGAAACTGTGTCCTTTCTCGTCCTAGTGATAATTTTTTCGGAGACAGCATCACGCCAGCAGACAAAGACGGTTTGAGCAGACGTTCACTTGAAATACTGTTAGTTGGAGAAGTATTGCCTCTCGGTGACTCGTGAGTCGTTTCTGACATCACACGAGTTATTCTAGATCTAGGACGGGAACACGGCATTTGAAGTTCCGGAATGTTCAATGTCATGACACTGGCTGTAGAAACAGACCATCTACTGTTTGATTCCACTGAGGCGCCAACATTAACGAGCATGGAATCGACACTGTCTGCGTTGGTGCTTTGCAGTGAAAATCGACGATCATTATCAATTCGTGGTCGTTTGACAACTGTATGTTTCAGGAGATTGTTTTCCTTCTTTGACGATTTTGACTTATCACTCCCAAGAGAAGATGAGCTTGACATACATGCGCGGGTTTCTTCAAGACAATTTTCACTGCTTACATTAACCTGTGACGATATTTGTCCATGTATCGTCACTGCTGAGGACTGTCTTAAGAATGTGGGAATGTCTCGACAGAGTTCATGTTCCTCCCTTGGTCGAGGAGACCTTCTGATTAGTCTAAAAACATGTGTTGGAGTGGTATCAACATTTCTCCGCCTAATAAAATTGATGAAAGATTTTCGCAAAGCACCACTTACTCCAAAAAGAATAAATGGTTGGATGAAACTAGCTATTGTATAGAATAACAAGCTTATTCCAGCGAGTTTACCTTGGATATCGAGCCAAAAAAATGCAAGAGTCTTTAGACAAAAAGCTATGATATATAGAACTGACAATGGAGAATTTAAATATGACAATGCTATTGTTGCTCTTATTTCGACCCTTGGAAGCATTATTGTTTCATCTATTTCACGAAAGGTTGATAGCGTTGGAAACAATGACGCCCTTGCCATTCCTATTCTTTCCTCTCTCAATCGGTTTTCCGCCTCTGACTCCTCTATAGGATTGACTGATATTCTGTTTCCCCCTGCACAGCATGATGTTGTCTTCATCAATGTAAGAATGGAAAAGAACGTTACAGCCATTAGAGGAATGACATACATCATCAAGTTGATAAAAAGCGGGAATGTATCCGCGGACAAAACGCAGTGGTAGATACCCGGCATGTATCTGTAGCTGTTGTTTTGCAACAGAGGAAATCCGGACAGAAGACCTACAAGAATAAATTTCATAAATGATAAGTAAAACAAAACTAAAAGTTAAAACAACTTTTTAACGTGAATAATTTGGACGTTAGTGGATATGTATTATTATAACACTTCCAAAACAATAAATACAGACTATTTTTCAATATATCTTAACGAAATATTACGTGAACGAAAAAAGTAACAAAGTGCTTTATTCCGACAGATGTGTTAATTTCAGACTGTTCTTTAAAATACATTCATACTTATTTCAGATACACGTCTGTATACGTACAACTCATTCAAATGATTTAATCGAAAAAGTAGCTGATAATTAAGAACATCTGTTAATATGCACAACTAATTCAAATAACTATGATAGCAAAAAAAAAACCTGATAATTAAGAACAGTAATTATTTTACTCATCCTTGTTCATTTATTGGAAAATGCTGCAAAGTTCATAGAATTCTACTACCCTTATGGGAAAAAATGTACCCTGGTATTGTTTGTATTTTGTGATGATTTTCCTATTTCCAATGTACATCAATTTTAAGACGAAAAAAATCACATGAAAGGGTTAGTTTTTCACAATATTCAATTGAACTGAAGTCGTCAAGCATATGATCTGGAGTGTTGCACACCAAAACCATTAATATTTCACTGTCTTTGAATCTTTCCTACATCTTACATAACTGCAATAAAAAATATTATAAACTTACCAGAAAGCAGGAAAATGCCAACAATTCCGGCGTTGCAGAAACTACTGAGAGGCTTCGACGGATTTTTTGTTACTAACATATAAAATCTGTAATAAAAAAATTGAAGATAAATTTCACGAAATCCTTTTTTGAAATACTAATTTCAGTAACAAAGAAAATTAAATACAAAAAATAAATAAATAAAGAACAAAACAAGCACAAAAATTCCAATCCCTCACCTTTCGATAGCCAGACACAACATGAGGAAACAATGTGAAGACAGCAGGGTATTGGAAAGGAGACCCTGTAGAATACAACCTCCATCCCCGAAGATCCACCCCTCATTGAGCATAGACACACAGGAAGGAAGTATGAGAAGCATGCCCAGTACAGCATCGGTCAATGTTAGAGCCTTTATCACTTTTGCTGTAAATTAGATGATCAGTTTTATTGATAATCAGGATTTTAAACATAGGAAAGTTATTGAATTTTTTAAATAATTTGGAATACCTCCTTTTGACTTTTATTATTATATTATTTTTATCAATAAATAGTCGTTGAAAGTAAGATTTTAAGAGCAATGAAAAAAATTACCTGTTATACTGTCAAGCTTCTTGGAGTATATTCCAATGATTAAGAACAGGTTTCCCATCTCCGAGAATACCAGACTCACAAGCATAAAACCTCCCAAGAAGTATCTCCATTCTCCAGTATTACCCTAGTTTGGAAAAAGAAAGAAAATTTAGTTTTTTACTTTGAGGGGGTCAAAAAAAAAATACTACAAGGAGAAAAGATTCTATAATTCAGTTGTAAATGGTTTTTTCTTCTTACCTGAACGTATGCGGCAAAAGATTCACTCTGATTCATAATGGTTCAAGGGAATACTGTGCTTAGGTCTGCGTTTGAATTCAAATATAAGAGTATGTTAATGAATAGGAAAAATATCAACCAATCAAATGAATCTAATAGAAAAAAAATCTAAGATTAAGTGTTATCTTAGACCTACTTTAGAATTAGAATTAGAATTCACGATTTGCTAATTTACTAACCAATCATTCTTACATTTTTAAGATCACTGCCAAGATTCACGCGCATCCAACACTCTTTTCAATTTCAGAGATTCGCTGTACATTTATAAGTATTATTGCAAAACCAGTTGCAGTAAAAATAAAACATGTTAATGAGTAGGTGTGGGAAGAAAGGAAATGTGCTAATAACGTTAGGTAACAGTTATAGATTTTTAATTTTAAAAAAAATGACCATGAAAACTGTTGTTAAGTGATTCCCCTTTAATATGTATGATCGCGGAAACGTTCGAAAAGGATATCAAAATTAATAAGATGGTGATGATGACTACTGGGTCATTTTTTTGCCTGACCAATAGTAGGCCTATGTTCTTTTGAATTTGGCTACGGATTGTTCCGTCTGCCTGCAGGGGGCTCACGGCGGGTGTGTCTGGTCGGCGGTCGGCGGGGGATGTTTCTTTCTCTTAGTCACCTGATCCCACCTCTGGTGTTCCCAAGGTCCGGGTTTGTGACCTGTTTACAGAGGTTGTGGTTTTGTGAAATTGGTCTCTGTTCATTGTTTTCACCTTTTTAATTATACTTTTGATTACTTATAGATATAGGAGTATTCTTAACTATTGGGATTGTGCTATTACTGGTTCGAATAAACTTCATATTTTTTTCAATTTGTTTACAAAACAAGGATATGATTAACGGATGAATCATGCATTAAAACGTTTCTATATTAGGTACTCGGAATATGTTCTTCCTCCACAAGATCTATGACTTTAAAACGTGCTTAGATGGGAATAAAATTGATATATCATGTTGCCAAAGGATCAACATGTTTTAATGAACCACAGACTTATAGGATCTGGATTGTTTTCTATAAAAAAAAAATCTTATCGATATCAGTTCCGTTGGATAAAATTAAGCTAAATACTTAATAGTAATTCGCGTCTCATAGCTTTTTATATTTTTTTTTAATAATTAAATACATGTCATTGATGACAATTATATAAATGAGATTTACTAATATGTATCCACATTGTTTAAAAAAAATGGATCTAAATTTTGAAAAATTAACTAATGTATGTAGTTTTAAAATGATACAGTGTCAACTGTCTGGCAAATCCCACCTGTAATGGGAAACCAATTCTGTGTCGTAAAAGACAGGGTGTAGGATAACACGGTGTTTAAAACATGTTGTTCGTTTGTTGTTTGTAACGTACGGCGCCGCTGCGAATTTCTAATTTGTCCGAACAAATAAAAATATTTTTTACCTGGCCCTCCAGCGGCGCCGTAGTAATTTTTCAGCATATGGAGACGCCACCACTTGCAGATGGAGACTTTTTTAACCTATGCTCGGCACTTAGGACTTTTGAACAGTGATGAATCTTTATGTGCCAGCACTTACTGACTGTGACACGGAACCTCGGTTTCATGTCCCACTGTATTTCTCAGAATTATCCACACAATTGGGAAATTTAATGTGAGCCTATCAAGAGATAAAGAAATTGTACATTTCCACATAACAAACCTGTGTAGAAGGATGATTTCGATATGTTTAAATATGGGCATGGTAAACACAAATGTAAATGATATAGAGTAATCAGCTAGATCATCCCCAACTTATTTATTATTCCCATTAAAATGGGGAAAAAAATTATTATAGCCATTGAGCACCCACTGCGACACGGAACTTTATTCGAAGACCGTCACCACGTTTTGCATTGGAATTTGAACTCCTTAATTCGCGCGCTCTAACCACTGCGTCACGTGGCCGACTTTTCGTGGTGGCTCCCTCAGACGCCCTTGCCAACTTAATAATTTATTTGAGATGCCTCACTATGAAACAGTCCGTAATTGAACATGTATATATTGTCGAAAGATGAGCAAAATGAACAATTTTTGGTCTTGGTTTAGGATAAAAATTATTTAGGGATGTAAGTGGCAGAAGTAATGAATTAAGCCCAAAGCCTCTAGTGAGCTTTATATATCACAATGACGCGGGTAACCCCGATGTTTAACAATATTTACAGAAGATTAGATAAATGACAAATAAACTGATAGCATGTCGTAATGATGTACAACTGAATATGTGATTCATAGATTCGATATGATGTTCGGGGAATGGATTATTCATTTGGAACATATTTTTTGGTCCTGGCTAGTATTTCCTTCACAGGTAAGTTTAATTCTTGCCTGTTTGTCCATCTGTTTCATTTTTGGAGAGGGGCTTATTGTGACGATAAAGAAAATTATCTATTGTTTAAGTCAATCTTGATATAAGCATAATAAATATTCAATGGCTGCCATGCTTGTTTTTAGCATGTGTGCATAACTTTGGTTGTGTAGAAAAGAATTATCGCTATCTTCGATGTGAATGGGAAGGACACTTTGAAACAACCTGCTGGATTTTATCAAACACCAGGTACGTATCGTTTGAATAAATAGATATTTTTCAGTAACTGGGGAAATTTCGTTTCATTGGAAAAAGCAGATGTTGAAAATTTAGGGGACTATAGACATAAAGGTCACTTTGTACTCCTTTGAAAAAAAATATATAGCAAGTCATTTTCATTTTAAAAAAATTAACATTATATATGCTTACTACTTTTTTTCTCATATATCGCTATTAATTTAGTCTTTTATTAAACTTGGCCCACATTGCAGTCCACTTCGACAATCTACATTTGTGCCGAGTTATTAGCAGACCAAGTTTAATTTGTATTTATATAAAGCAGAACATATTCAGAAACTTCTATAAAAAAAAAAGAAGAAAACACTAGGTCGTTGTTGTCTTAAACTGGATATTCGATATATTGACAGTATTATATCTTAACAATAGTTATTTTTATTCAAATGTCAACTCAATATATCCAAGTGAGCTTGAAATAAAAGATGTCAAGGAGCTCGTATCTGACACATCTGTTTTATATTTGAATATTTTTCTAGAAAAAAAAGGCGATAATGATTACGCAAACAATAAAGCTATATGAAAAAGTTGATGGTTTCAACTTTTCAATCGTCAACTTCATTTTTAGCAACCTACCCTTATGACCTGTATATAAAATTTATGGTTCTTAGTTGAAGCGATACGCAAGAACGTGTTTTAGTTTGAACATTTTCTAAACCAAAGCAAACTATTGAAAAGAATTTGATGAAAAAAGGAACTCAACGGTCATTTCGCAAGTTTTATGGTCATTACAATGATCTTATCAGCAAAAGCAACCTATCATTAAGTAAAATGCTGACTGACTTTTTTCATACTAATTGTTAGGTCATTATTTACACACTGAATTGTCTACCGATTTTTCTGGGGGGGTTTTATCATGAAAAGGACAACACGGCGGATGTGGCCGGTCGGCAGGGGATGCTCACTCCTCCATGACCCATGATCCCATCTCTGATGTTTTAAAAGTTCCGTGTTTGCTCTGCTCTCGATCTGTATTGTGTAAATGGACTTTGATATTGAATACTGTTCCTGATCACCATATTTCATGATGCTTCGTATGGATAGGAAAGAAATATTAAATAAACTCTCATTGACAATTTCAAACGACACAACCGAATTCAAAGACCACCCTGACCACTCAACGTACAAAATGATAGTAAACTGAATTAGAAGAGCACAGAATAGATGAGGGTAATGAATAATAAATGAATAAATGTGATTGATATTATTTCAAGGATGGAAGTAAACTTCAATTACATGAGTGAGAGTAAGTAAGCCTTCATTGTGAACCATTAAACACTGAACGCCACAATTTTCAAGAATAATATTAATATTTTCTCTTTTTTCTGACCAATCGCCGCTATAGAGCCTCCAATATCAGTATATGTGACATTGAGAAAATTGGGAAGAAGCTGTTTTGCAATATCTCGGTTGGGAACTACAACCAGCTGGGTCTAAATGACTTCATCTTGATAAATTTGTGCAACAACACAGAAGAAACAAACACGATTTCTACAAGAGATGACAAAAATGGTAGTTTAAATCTTTCATGTATGCCATGTATTCTTTATTAAATTGAAATAGTCATTAATGTTACGAAATCCTAATTTTTCATCCATAAAATTATTTTTTAGTACAGTTAGATCCAGTAAGTAATTTCCATTCGATATGGACATCACAAACAAGGGTTAATCTAACGTGGACGCTCCCAGTCTCGCCCTGCGCGGTAAACGACGAGATTGGAGGTGTAAACTGCTCGGTCCTTCTAGACACCACGTCTGCTGATCTGGCATCAGATTCTGGATGGTTCTTACCCAAGGTAGACATCACACTGCTACTAATTGATTTTGGTTAAAGGAAACATGTAAGAAATGTGGAGAAAAGTGATGTGTGACGGGTAGTTTTAGCACCATTGAATCTGGCTTCTCAATGTCTTGAAATCTGATTTCACACTGACTTTGTTCAATATATTTCCTCCATTATTTTGCATATCTTTATTTAAGATTTTATTAGAATTTTCCTTATATGAATAAAGATTGATGCTAGATTAAACATTTAACTATTTTGTTGTGGATTCTTGATCAATTTAAATAAAAAAAATATCTTTTCCCAGGTTCTCCCTTCCAGTGCATGGACAGCGATGGGCAAATCTGGTTCAATGTGCACAAGTTCAGCTCCTATGTCCATAACTTTTGAAAATCTTCAACCTTCAAAAAATTACACTGCTTGGGTAAAATGTCAGCCTTATGGTTCCAGATTTTGGAGCGATGTTACTGAATGTAATTTCACGACACAGAATTCAAGTGAGTACTAGTAAATGGCTCAATATTCCACTGAGAGGAAATTAAGGAAGTTAGAAATTGCTATTTTGATAATTTTCTCCTTCCCTTTGATTCCTTGCTCTGCCTCTACTTTTAAACATATTATCTAATTGTTCGAAGAACCACAACACAGTCCATTGACAGAGCCAGGGTCCTATGTTTTGTACAGATGTGGAAGCTATGAGTGCCTAGCAATCTACTGGAAAGTAAGATGATGTGTGCGTCTTTATAACATTTTGCTCAGAATATTTAAAGCAAGAAGACGGATTATTAAAATTATGAAATACCTTTTTTTAGCTTCGATGACATGAATCATCTAAAGAAAATAAATAGTCCATGACGTTGTTGTCATATCCTTTAAAAAGTTCTGTTTAAAAATCTAATGATATTTCAAGGGATGATTTCGGTCACTAAGTCAGAAAGTTTTTACTGTAAATCACTTAAAATTCACGAACTTTATTTTCGCGTAGTTACGTGAGTCTGTTTACTCAAAAAAAAGTATATTCTCGCGTAGATTTGTATTATCAAGGATTATCTAAAATGAATTATTACGTATCTAGCTATTGAAAAAAATTGCAAATACAAATTAGTTAAATAAGTGTCGCAAAAATAGTGATTTAATAGGGGTGATCAAAATGTTCGCGAACTAATTGAATGACTTCCATAAAACTGAGAAACAATATGTGGTTTCAGTGTTAATTACATTTTAAATTATTCCTCTCCGACTTTAATGCACATCGCCGCCGTTCTGCTCATGCGCGAATCACGTGATATAGGCGGTCAAGTGACCCCCTCCGTAGCGTTCTGTCGCAAAAGCTGAAAAATTTTCTGAGTTTTATATTTCTTTCCATGTAAGTTAATTTTTATAACAAGAACAGTTCATTTGTCAGAAATGGTAAAATCTCGGCAACAGAATGGATGGATAAGAATATCCTTTCCAAAAATAAGCATGACGACCATCAAAACCCAAATCTGCTGTCTCGAGAGAGACGTTTATTCAAAGTGGATAGAGAATAGGTGCCTCCTTTTTATCATATCTAATATGTTTAAAATCTAAAGTAAACGATATCTTAGGTTTTTAATCATTATTATTATTGTTAAGATATTCAACTATTTTTCAAAGTGTAAATTAGAGGTCCTTGGTAACAAATTGCTTAAGGTACGATTCTTCTCTGGTTTCTGAGTAGATGAAATACTCAATGTATATTTGCTTAAATGTCTTATATATTTAGGTGAAAGAGATTTTAAAGACAATATTTTTCTTTCCTCATCACAATTGTACAACTTTAAATAGAAATTGTAAATTATGTTCGAAAACTAGCAGGGACTATTTATTTGGCGGAATGGTGGCGTATGAAATTATCTTCTTTTCTGCCTCTCAAAATTATTATAGAACAAAGAATTTAGTTATAATTTTAACACAATTAAAGACTAGATGAATTTTTCAAATGTCAGCTAAATTAATAATAAGGAACTTAAGTTTTAAAATATATCAAATAAATATGAATTTCCAAACAAACTACAATTATGTTTGCTTTTAATAGCTTCCAATCTCAGTACAGATATGAGCCAAAAATCCATAGAAAGTGTTTTTACTCTCTTAGTAAACGGTCAAAACGTTTCGTTTTTATATCATTTTATATCTCTGTATGACCCCTTTACCATATGTGAAAATAAGAAAAATCTAAATATATTGTGCATATAAAAATAACTTAAATATATTTGCCCCCACAAAAGTCAAATTTTGAAAACTTTCTGAAATGTGCTGAAATTCAATAAATTGTATGAGAAATATAAACTAACAGAAAATAATGTAGTGTCAAAGCAGTGTATTCACATTTTTTGTTTTTTATGACGTCACAAACTAGTCCGATTTTATATCCTTTTTTCAGAAAGAGGACAAAATGAACAAAATTTCAACAATTTTAGCTTTAAAATCTATAGAGCGCAAGTTTGTTCAGGAACAATATTGACATATTTCATTGATATTATCATTCTACACATTATATCAAAATATTGATCCTGAACACACATGCGCTCGGTGACTTTTACTCAAAATATCGATGAAATATGTACATTTTTCTGTAAAATTCATAAAAAACTGAAATTTACGTCATGTTTGCGACGTCATTATGTACATATGGCGTCATTACTTATGAAAATATTCAGTGCTTTGAAGTCAGCATATACTCCCCTGTTTAAGAACTTAATTAAATATATCTCCATCAAAGTTTGATTTGGGGGGCAAATATTGGTTATTACCGAATAAAGTTCTTTAAGAAAAATAGAGGAAGTTCGGATTAGCCAAAATCCATTTTTGTTAAATTATTTGTGTCAATTTGGTAATATCATCTTGTAGACCCTATATGGTAATATCTTTTTATGCAAAATGAAAAACATTTAATCTTTTGAAATAGAAGACCCTGTCTCATGATTGGATGCAATTATTTTTATTCTTAATGACCAGGGAAAAGGTAATGACCTTGACCTGACCTTGACCCTAATATAAAACGGTCAAAACTAATCTTACTGATTCCATCACTTAGTAATATTGTATTCTTGATTCTGTGAAAATTTCAATAATTTTTTAAATACAAGAAATACAGTTTTGTGTGAGAAGAATCCTACCTTAATTAAAAACACATCTCTTTTCAAACTTGCTTTCCCCGGGCAACATAACAAATATCATATTTAACCTTCTGCCTTTCTTCACTAAAACGATCAATCCGATCATTGATTGAATTTATAGGAAATCTTTTGTCTTAAAAAAACTGTGTACAAATTATTATGCGCTTCTGCAAAGGAATTTCTAAAATATACATGTACCATGAATTTTACAGTTGTTCGTTGAACGAGTAAGACTGAAACAAGTATTTTTTGTCAAAAGTGACCTACATTGTGACATCATTTTCACATTGTGACGTCACTAACAAGGGACAAACCTTTATTAAGCATATGCTATTTATAGAACTTGTGTATGGTTATGTGTTTACCAATTTTTTTTTCTAATCGGAATTGTGTTTTTGTAGATATGGAGATAGTTCGCGAACTTTTTAATGACCCATCGATTGTTATGGTCAACGACTCATTTAGAGATTTTTATTTAGTTAATCTATAAAATGAAAATATTTTTTTCTCTAATTCAATTATACAGACAAATCGATACTTGAATGAAGAGATAAATGGTTACAACGTTAACATCTCACAAATATTGGCCTCAAACACTGTAGTAAACCGCAGCATGGCAGGATTTTACGACCTCCCTGTGCTGCCCGTGTATACCGTGTCAATCTGGGCGTGGAACACCGCCGGAACATCCTCTCCTTCTACAATGAAAATCTTTTCAAAAAATTCCGGTAATGTGAATATTTTTTTTCTAATAAAAGTTTACAGTATATAGCATTAAAAGTTAAAATATTTACTTTTCATCATAAAAAGTCAAATGTTGTCAAATGTACATGTGTAGTATTTAGTTTATTGAAATATATATTTGAACAACTCCTTCTGTTTAAGAAATGTACAAACCTCTATTTGTGTTGTCGAAGCTCGTTAAAAGCTACACGTTTGAAATAACGTACAGAAGGGGAAATCGGAGTCCTAATATAGATACTGCAGTATACTACTGGTGTCTAGGAGATTCGGATGGACCCTTAGTAAATTGTCAGGTACTTCTGACATTAGATACATTAGTACATTTTCCTTATTTTGCCTTACACGTAGATTTTCACCCTAAAATGAACTTTATCAAGGAAACAAAAGTTTTTTTAGGATGCCATAAATTGGAAGGAAGTCAAAATTGGAAGAGATGAAAAACGTTCTGATACATACAAATACAATGTTACAACAACTATTGAAGAGGGTCTACAGTTTGCTGTGGCACTTTTCAATAATGGATCGACTTCTGGAATGGTCTGGGGAAAGACGATTTATTTGACCACCAAGCAAGGTACGTTTGAAAATGTAAATTTCTGACATCCTCAGTTCCTCCAAATATTGACGAGCACTAAATTCGTATCTATCGTCAATCACAACAAATTATTTGTCATTTTACTGGAGGATTATACATTTGGCAGTAAAGATTGGCAAGCAGGAGATGGGTTTCCTTTGTTGGGGAAAGGGTCCTCATTGAAGGTATGTCACTCGTTAAATCTGTTACTTCAAGGATTTTTTTAGAAGTACTGTATATTTTTGATAAGTACTCATGTAGTATGACTCAAAATCGCAGAGAAAATGGGGGGGTCAGTGTGCATCTTACTGAGCTATGATACAATTTAGATGATTTTTTGCACTTAAATTGTTACTCTTTTGATAGTAAATTTAATGTTTATCATTTTTATCAGATGCAACCATGGCAATTAATCTAACATTAATTTACGTAAAAAAAATTGAATAATATTAATCATTGAACAGAACATGAAAAATTAATGCGCGTAAATTAATGTATGACCTTTATGCACTAAAAAGTTTCATATTTGGGGTACTAAAATCTAAATACGCATTAAAATATTTCCATTAATCAAACTTTTTTACAACTTTTAAAAATGCAGATCGGTCAACAGTATCAAGTAGTTAAATATAATGAAAAAAAGTTGGGGTCAGTGTTGTTAATATTGAAATATTGGTCAAAATAAGCAATTCTCGGGCAAAAAATCTTCACCTTTATAAATGATCTTCATGTTTTAAGAAAAACTGTTTAGGGAAAGTGCAAAAATTGTTCAAAAAATATCAATTGAGACCCATATTTAATTTTCCTACCATATCATAATGGAAAATATTCTGTGAGTAAGAGTATATGAGGCTAAAGTTCCAAGATATTAAAGTAAATTTTCCTTCTATATGAATTTTTGAGCAGGTTTTTGATTAAATGTTGAACAAATAACATTGTTTTAAATATGTTTTAAAAATTGTAAAGAATACTTTTGAAGTGAGAGGTTCTGACTGAACTTTTCTAAAAGGCTGACGAGTGACATACCTTGAATGAAACATATGGAGATAACGAACAGTGTTCAAGATCAAAAATCCATAAAACAATAGAAAATAGGAGCAGAGCAAACACGGACCCTCAAAACATTAGAGGTTGGATCAGGTGCCATGGAGGAGTGAGCATCTCCTGCCGACCAGTCACACTCACCGTGTGCTCCTTGTAATGATCGGGAAATAACGGGAAAATCCGTCTTCAATTCAGTTTATAAACAATGGACTAACAATTAGTATGAAAAACGTCAGTCAGCATTTGATTCAATGATAAATTGTATTTGCTGTATAGACCATAAAACTTACGAAATGATGACTTTAAAAGTGAAACTTTAAAGACATTCAGGATTAATAATTTGCACTAATGGTTATGCGCATGTAAAGACAAACACGGTTGTTTACATAACAATTAGAGGTTGCAGAATAGCTAGTAGTAAAGTACGAGGTCTTAGTCAATGATTCTAGTAGTTCAAATGTTATGATAACATTAATGTGAATTGATCCCCTGCTTGGTGTTTTTTACAGCAGTGCAAAATAATCCTTTTGTTACAATTATCACTTTTAAGAATTAAGTTGATGACATTATCTAATAGATACCTCTACGCTATCGCGTTTATATTGACATCTGCCCTCAATGGAGATAAGAAGATGTTTCCAAGAGTATTTGGACAATTATACGCGTATTTAAGATTTGATCCTTTCGGAGAATTCAAATGATTCACATCACTCTATCACCCTAAACCAGCAACCTTTATATACAGTTCTGTTTTGCAGATAAGACACATGTAACGGTACGATACGACTGCAGTATTATAACATAGATTCAAATCAAAGTTCTAAAGGGAAAATAATACAAGCTTATTTTTCCCAGAAATTAGCAATATATTTATTTCTTAGTTTTATATCCACATACGTATGCTGGATAGTGTTTGCCAGGAAAATTGTGAAAAATTCTTTAGGATTTTCTAAGAGTTTGTAAAATTTAATGTTTTTTAAAAATTGCAAATTTATGCTTAGGTGTATATAGAAAAAAGACAAATACTCCCATTTTTAAGAATTCATTAACTTATAAGGTCATTTTTTTTTAAATATTATTAATCTTTGCAACAAAAATTTGTTTGATTCATGTATTTTTAAACATTTTTAAAATACACGTTTTACTTCAGATTAGTCTTGTACATTTTTTAAAGCACTCAACACTGCGATTTTATTTTTTTTTTTTTAAAGAATCTGCTCGGAACAAGGGTGATTCGAAGTCGACAGCTATTACAATAGTTGTGGTCTTTACTGTTACAGTTATACTGGTGGTTTTAATTGTGCTGTCAATTTGGTGGAAACGGTAAGACCTCCTACAAAATTAAGGAAATAAGATTTAGAAATAAAATAAATTTGGTTTACTGATCATGTAGTTATTCAATGCTGTGTAATTGTTTATATGTAAACATTTTGTTTTTATTTTTTCTTTAACATGTAGTCGATGTCAAAGAGACAGGGCCCTCAATATTGAAATTCCAAATATATTTTCTACAAGCAGAAGGACTGATGAAACAAGAACATCGGCATATACTTAATCAAATATCTTCCAGTGCCTGTTAATTATTAAGCATAATTATGAAATGAAGCCATTTATTTAACCTTTTTATTTAACACTCATGCAGAGGAAAGATGGAATTCTTATTTTATTACTGTTATTTATCATCTCCTAAATACATATTAAATTACCCAATCATTACAGAAAGCAGAAGGGCTCATATATATAGGCTATGTCTGTTGCCCAATCTGTTTATGTACAATTACATGAAATATATTCAAATTAAAAATAATTAACAAAAAGGCAGAAGATAGAGGATATTTTCTGGGGTATTTTTAACATACAAATTATGAAATATATCTCCCGAATAACCATAATAACATAATATTTAATAAATTAATTTTAAAAATGATTATAAAGTGAAGAGTTGATACGAATCAGGAAATAAAGGTGAAAATAACGAACTCAAATAATTGCTAGTAATGACTTTGTATGTAAGTACTTTAGAGAGACACCTTAATTAAATTCATCTCATTTTATATTTATTAAGTTGATGAACACGAACTTGAACCATTTTGCCCAAAGTCGTCATTTTGAAAGCTCTTTGGTTGATACAAAGACCTGTAAGTTGAATGCTGATGGTTGGATAATTTTTTATTCAATGCAAGGCCATTATTTACACACTAAATTGTCCACAGATTTTTATCCCCTCACAACGGAGTTGGTTGGAATATGGTGCTTGTGTGTAAGTTTGCGCAATTTTGCGCAATTTTGTTGTCGAATGTTGTCTTGACTTATAGATATATTTTTGGGAGGGGGAGGCTCCTCTTTTTGGTGCCATTGTTTACAGTTTTTCATCTATGTATGCATCTCATCTTGTTTTAGAAATAATTGATATTAAATGTCAACGTGAGGTTGAGTAGGTGTATGTTTGAGAGTGCGAGAGGACGAATATAAGGCTGTATGAGAGTGCATGCGTACGAAATAAGATGTTTGAAACTGCTTCACTTTTTATACCGTATTATGTTTCAAAATATAAAATGTACATTCATTATTTCTCTTAAGTAATTTCATCTTTAATTTGCCTTTTCGTTTTGTTTTGTCCGTTTTGTTTTTGCTTTCAATGAAAATGTAATGATTGATTGATATACAGCCCCTGGTTCACATTATATCAATATTTTTTTAATTATCCAAAGGTATTCATGACATTAAATATTCGGAGTCGGTCTCACAGGTCCGTGACTGCTCTGCTCCAGATTTGCGTTGTTTGGATGAACCTTCAGCTTGAATACTTTTCTTTATCTCCATATTTCATTTCATAAATAATTTGTTTTGTTTCGTAGTATAGCGTATTTATCTAAAAATAACGACGTTTTGTGAAAAACATAGAAACATTTAATATTATTATTATAAATCTTAGATGTAGGCGTAGAGCTAAATAATAAGGACTAAGGTTTTATTTTTATTTTGCCGGATGAAAATATGTAAACATGACTGTACGTTTATATTTGCAAAACAAAATAATGTGTGAAGGATACACGTAGTCACGCAAGCATTGCTCTCCGTGTTTTGAATGAGACTCAGCTTTGAAATAAACAGTTCGAAAGTCTTTGGGTCTTCTTTACTTACCAATGAGAAATTGGCACTTCATGTTGTGTTTTATAGGATTGGTTTATACAAATACAAATAGTTTTGCTCTTTGCAATCTTCAATCTGATTGCAATAATAAAATCTCTCAGTACACCTTCATGACTTTCTATCATTCAATTTCAACATGTACATACAAGTTTACATACATACACACAAGCTTGCATTTTGCATCAACACTTTGGAAACCTTTTCCTAGCAACCAGTAAAGTGTTGCATGTTGATCAACTTAAAACCACTTATCTCAAAGGCTTGGCAATGGCAATAAATGTTAATCGTAAAACAGTTACTCTACCTGCACGCTCCAAGGAAAGTTGGGGTGCGGTGATGTTATCATGATTCGTCTGTCAGTCAGTCAAACTATCTTCTTTCTCCAACTACATGTACTCATATATTTTAAGCAATTGCCAACTCACGTTATGAATATGATAGGGTGTGATTGAAAAAGTGCAAGGAATTTTTGAAATTTTCAATTTGACCCTGGGGCAAAATAGGGATTTAAAAAGTTAGGTTTTTTGTTCAAGAAAATACTTAAGATTACATGGACTGCAAAAAATATGTTCAAGTAATGGTATACATCAGATGAGACATCCTTAAAAACTCAAAAAAAAACTTTTAAGAAATTTTGATAGTTTGACCAAAATCAATCACATCAGAACCTACAAATTTCAAATACTTAAGGTTAATAAACCCTCTGCTCACTTATATAAAGTGTTGCTTGAACCTTAATGATTTTCCAAAAGAAATGTATTTTTAAAAAAAAATGCAAACAATTATAGCATAGGTTGCGAGGCAAAATTGGACAAAAAAGATACTTCAACTTGGAAATCTATAAAAGACTTATAGACATTTATGTCACTAAGAATTATCTCTCTTATCAGACTATCAATGAACCTTAATACCAATCTCCTCGGTAAAAAAAAAAAGTCCAGACTTTTAAAATACCTTGTCATTGGCTATTTGAAAAGTCATTTTGTGAAGAAACATTCCGATTGTATTTAAAAGTACTTAAAAGTCGATATTGAAAAGGTTTGGTCTTGTGATTGACAATATCTATGAGTTTTTATGAACCATCTCTTCCAATATTCTGTCAAACACAACCAATTTTTCTTGATAAAAATGAATTAGGATTTAGACAAAAAATTATGCAAGAGAAGAAAAACTTCCTGTGGCCTTCAACTTGTCATTTAGATATTTAAACGATGTATAATTAAATAATAATAGTTATTCCATGTGTTTGTCCATGCAATTATATAACAGTGAATTTGCAATAAAAGATACCACAAATACCACAAATTCTTACACATGTTTCATATTTAGATATTTTCCTAGAAAAAGACGTTAATGTTTAGCTAACTTGATATATCCCAGTTAATCTGAACGAAAATATACCACAAAGTGTGACATATCTGTTTCATATTTGTATATTTTACTAGACAGAAGATTGTTAAACAACAATAAACAATAAAAAAATTAATAATAAACGTGATGACTTCAATTTCTATCATCAGCTTTCCCTATTTATATAGCAATTATACACTTGTCTTTCTATTGATTCTTTGCCCAAAAGCATGCTCTACGTATATTAGTAAACGAGGTAAACTATTGAAAAATAATTTGAGGAAAAATAATTTTAAGACTCGTAAAAAGTAAACATTTTGCAAATGTCAGCAAATACAGTATATCATCAAGATGGATGTTAACACGTTTTTATACTAATTGTTAGGTCAATATTTACGTCTGAATTTCCAAAAATAATACAAAGTTAAAAGGATATTTTTAGTACATTTCAAGTGCAAACATCTCTATCCTAAGCTACGGAAATACATAGTTAGTGTAGCTATTGTTATGATTGCAAAGTTCCACGGAGAAAAAATCTAGTGTTTGGGTGTTAAATTAAGCACTAATGATCGCACACCATAATTAACAGTAGGCGAAAATTTACCAGTACATGATTACTTTTGGCTTTTTTCTGCATTATGACACATGGAGAAAAATCCAATCGTGCCTTTAGTTAACCTTTAAGGTTAATGCTATACTCTGTTAACTAAGGCCCAAAATGTTAGCCATATCTACAATTAATCTTCTGTTCTCCATCGATAGCAAAAAAAGCTTATGATCTTTTTTCGAAGATAAATTCATTTTTATCTACCTACTTCATTTTGTTGATGCCCGACGAGATTTTTTTTAACCTAATAATAAGGTAAAATCCACATATTTGCAATTATACAAAAGGTTTAAAACATTCAATATGTATATGTATGTGCAATAACACACGAAGTGTCTGCTTTACAATTAGCAGAGGTTTCCCCCATCAACTATTAGCATCTTTCGTCCAAACAAGAGCTTTTCAAAATTCGTATAGACATATTCATTAAGTTTATATTGCAATATTTGTGCGAACGCTCAAACACATTTGCATGTGCTTTAAACTCAGACATTTTTCATACTCAATTGGATGTGAAATGTAAAGATTACCAACCGTGATGATAAAGACAAATTATGAATAGAGACGAAACTGATTTCTGTAAACAAAGGTGGGATCAGGTGCCTTGGAAGAGTAACTATAAGCCCTACCCAGGTTAACTTGCATGGATGATGCATCTAGGGATGGACACTACCAGACTTTCTTCGGATGCTGGATATGACCTAGGAACTAAAGAATATGTCTTCATTTTATTTACCCATGCTTCATACATAAGTATTAAGATAATTTGCTTTTAAGTAGGGCTCTTTGTAAAAATCATGCAGAGGGTGATACATGGGGGTTTTCAGAATTTTTTCAAACTTTGCATGTTGGTAGAGTATGCTAAAATACTCCAAAATTTAAATTAAAAACTAATATTTTTTTTTTATTCTGCCTTTAGTATCTATGGCAACCAATAAACTGTTTTGGGTAAAAAAAAATGGCTGAAATTTCCTCTAAAAACAGGCAAAAATACCAATATTGAGGATTTTAAAAAAATAAAACTAAACAAAACACATTTATGTTTATTTCTTATTAAAATGCAGCATAAGTAGTTACTTTCCATAACTAGTCAAAATATTTTTATGACCAGTGATGTGTTCTAATTTTAATCTAAAAAGGGGAAATAATCCATACTGGCAAAAACTGTAAAATACCCATTTTTAAGGATTTTTATCTATCAAAAAGTTCTAAAATCCCCACAGTTAAACTAAAAGGCCATGGTAGTTTCATGTTGTCCTATTCTTTTGGTGTCTTTGTAGAGGCGATGTCATTTTTATGGCATATTGTGTCAAATATGAACGCCCTATCATAAGTCATTAAGTCATGTCACAGGAAATGCACATGTCAAATATGAAAGCCCTATCTCTTCTCAATCAAAAGTTGTAAGGAAAAATTAACATTTTTTGAAAAAGTAGATAAAATTTCAAGGTCAAGGTCACAAGATCAAAATCATAGTGTACGAGGGGTGATCAAAAAGTTCGCGAACTAATTGAATAACTTCCGAAAAAGAAATAATATGGGGTTTCAGTGTTGCAAATGTTTCAAAGTAGTCCTCTCCTATTTTAATGCGCATCTGCAACCATTCTGCCCATGCGCGGATCACGTGATATAGGCGATCACGTCACATGCTCTTTAGCGTTCTGTCACAGAAGCTTAAATTTTTTTCGGACCATGCAAGTTATTTTGTGTAACAAAAACAGTCCATTTGTCAGAAATTGCATAATCTCTGCAATAGCTTGGGTGGATAATGATATCCTTTTGCAGAATGAACATGGTGACCATCAAACCCAAGTCCTCTGTCTTTTGAGCGTCGTTTATATCATGTATA